TTTTTTTTTTTTTTTTTTTTTTTTTTTTTTTTTTTTTTTGCTTTGCTATACATGCTAAATCCAAAGATTTCCTCAAAAGTGTTAGAGCACATCAGCTCCAACCTCTCCCGGGCATCCTGTTCTGTAAAAGGGAGCATCTCCCATCACCTCCTTTATCTCAGGATTTAAAAAAATATATATATAAAAAAAATAAAGCTGTACGTTTTAAAGTTGTAAGCAGCTTTAGCTTTAAGTGTTCATGCAGAGATCCGCTGATGGCTCTGCCCATTCACCGTAACCTTGTGGGAAATCCTTTTCACTACTGAGTTACAGTACTCTCATGACTTGCATCAGAAGTCTCACGCTGGCCCTTCTGGGATAAGGGTGAAACACAGACTTGGAGAAGTAAAAAAAGTACACGAGTGGTATAACTGAAGGCCATTTTTAATTTCGCACAAACTCTCGCCATTTCCTTTCAGGTATTAGCAAAAGCTAACAGGAAAAAACAAAACAAAACAAAAAAGAACAACGGTAAAAGTAATAATTAAAAAAAAAATAATTAAAAAAAATAACTTTGGCAGAGAACAGCATCAAATCATTCATTAAAAAAAAAAAATTAAATAAGAATAGTCTCCCAGAATGCATTCTTAAGCTCTCAAGAAGCTGCTGCCTTCTTAGCTTGTCTTTTTTTCTTCTTCTTTTTTTTTTTTTTTTTTTTTTTTAAATAAAAGGCTCCTAATAGATTTCTGGGAGAAGATTCAGATATCTTAACAGAAATAAGTTAAGGGTAATAACAACAAAAAAGGTGTAGTTCCAAAACGACTTCTTCAAGACTATCATTCTAAGTTCAAGGCAATAAATAATCCCCTTGCTGCAGAGAGGGAAGCCAAACACCCCCCAGCTCTGCCCCTGTGCAGCTCACCAGTCCCACCTCAGAGGAGGCCAGTCATTAACATGTATGGAACCAACTGTCCGTTACGGGACAAACTGCAGTTCTACTAGACCAAAAAGTTGGTGTTTGGACCCAAACATATTAACCAGGATTGTAGGTAGATCATGACCAAAAAATTAGCAAAGGCATGTTTACGCTATAAAAAAAACCCCTCGAGCAACTTCTAACACTACAGTCTCTTAGACTGGGTGAGGCATTTGCTCACCAGCAGTTCTCCTGAAGCCTTAAATTTTGGGGGGATAAAAGGATTTGTTAAGTGGTGACATGCAGCAAAGAGTATTGGGCAAGTTCTATGACACCTCTAAGACATGGAAACAGAACACGACTGAAGAGGCCGACATCAGGCAGAGAGTACCATAGAAATGTTTGTAAATGACTTAAGAGAAAAAAACCCACCAAATAAACAATTTGCTAAAAAGCTTCTTCACAATAATGGTTTAAATGGTGAGAGTATTACTTCATGAAGATTCTAACTGCCTGTCAATAATCACTTACATTGTTTTGGCAACTTGTTAGTTCAGCAAAAATAAGAACGTATTAACTGGAATATTGAGTATCTCAGATTCAACAGTCAAAGGCTGCACTGTACCTATGGGAAAGATTCTGACTCCATACGAGGACCAAAGGATAAATTTGACCATGGATGTGACTGCAGTTACACTGACCAGGATACAAGCATCCCATGTATTGACTGTTTACACAGAACGGAGATAGAACTCCGTTCTGTTTAAATAGCAAATGACTTAGGGAAAGAGGAGGGAAAAACAACCTGGGAAAACACATTATAAGCAAATTGCTATTTAGGTGGCACTAAAAGCCATGCCTTCAGCTTCCTAACTACATAAGGCACCCTGGAAAAAAAGTAAGCAAGGACGAAGCAAGGGCAGCCAAGCAGAAGGGTCCCTGAGCTAACCTAACTGCACAGGTTAGGTGGTAATGCATTTGTTAGTATTAGAGCCAAAAAGACTGCTCTGGAAAACCCAAGTACCAGCTGCTGATAGAAAGACAAGCCAAGTTAGTAAGGGACAGTGCCCAGCACGTGAGTCTCCTTCCCTGTGCCAAATCTGGCACTCTAGAACCTAGGCTTTTCAAGAAAATACTGATAGTCTGAGGCTTATTCTCATCCTGTAAGTCATTTTTCACTCCAGTAACATCAGGCAAGTTCTGTTCTAGGTTATTTTATCCTGCTTAGAAACATTTATTGATGTTTTATGTCTTTTACATACAGTATCATTATTCCCAACTCACCCCATTATTGAGTTAACTTGAGATTCCTTTAACATACTTCATATACTAGAACTTTACCATTAAGAAGGAGTTAAAAGATTTTTTTCTGCATGAAGTGAGCCACAAACTGCAAGAAAATGTGTATTTACACCAAGAGTCAGGTATGGTAACTCTCCTCTCTTAGATACACTCCAACAGGGTTCCAACACTACCGTATTTCCAGTTAGATATCCTACTTCACAGTGGCAACAACTAAATGAAGTGGAGAAAGGTGAGACAACTCATCCTCTAACTAAAGTCTCAGAGCTAATGGGAGTCAACTGATTTCAAAACAAACAAACAAAAAAAATCCTCCACAAAACCCAACATGCATTGGTTTGCTTGATAACACACATCATATATCATATTGCTAAAAGCTACTTAAGCAGCCTGCAGCTTACAGGACCCACTGTACTGGAAAACAAATTGTCTCCAACAGTCAATGGCAAGATTAATCCAAATTTCATCTCTACGGAACTATCTGTTCTCAAGTTTATTAAGAGATTTGACTGCGGGGAAACATTTCTGGACCCTTAAAACACATCAGGCACTGTCAGCACAGCCCCTCACACTGTCTCAGCCTGGCCACTTTTCCCAAACAATTCCCCAGACAAGCTCAGGAGCAAAGACTGCTGCAGGAGTTAGTTCCAAAGGCAGCGTGGATGTGACTTTGGAAAATAGGGACTTTGCACCTCTTTCCCTCACCTCTCCTTGTCCTTCTCCTTTGTTTTCTCCCCTTCCAGACTCAAAATACAGCAGCGATAAGGCCGTGAAGCGTTCCCTTTCTCCCCATCATGGAGGAAAAAAAGTTATATTTTAGTGTGTTTACTAAACTTAAGACATGTGAAGTTCAACATTTCTCTTTCTCCCATGTGGTAGAGACTACGTATAGATTTTTCTCTAAAAAGAGGCAAACCCTAATGACGTCAACGACAATATAAGGCTAAAATTTTGTGGACCGTCAGCATTGAATGTATATTCTTCCACTTCAATATACTGTAAAATCGCAATGAAGAGAACCCTTTTTCACCCCTCTTTTCTTCTCTCTTCCATTGCCAGTTCGTGATCTCCAGGGTTTCTTTGCTTTAAATATAACAGCTTTTCAGTACTGCAATTTACAAAGGATAAAGATCAAAAGATAAACATTTCCTTACAGGGAAGAACGACAGAAAGCTACTAACAGCTACCACATTTTAAATTACTGCAGGAAAAATATCATTCTGTTGTTGCTATAAGAGAACTGAGAAGCTGAAAACACTGGAAGTGATGAACAAAATTCATAAGTATTATGTTGGCCAAGATAACACAGCTACATTACAAAGAACAACGATACAATGATGTGCATCACAACTCTGCATTCAAAATCTTTCGACATAGCTTTAATCATTTTGGATTTTACACAAAGGTAAATGATTACTTGTTATCTTCATCTTAACGCTGACTGAACTCTAGAACTGCCTGACTTCAAACACAGCCACCTGCCCGCCTTTGGTATATTTACACACGTGTACATGGAAAAAAAGAAAAGATTAGTACCGCAAACGAAGGGAGAGGAGGGAAGAAAGAGGGAGAGAGACACCACACAACACATCCTGCTTTCAGCAGATAGGACAACATGTTTTAAATGGTCTCTAAATGGGCTAAAGTTGAGTTGATTTTACAGTTATAGCGTAAACAATGCCTGGGTTGCAGTTATGTTACTTGGAAAAAATAAAAATAAAAAAATCTCCAGAGACCTGTATCAACTTCTGTATGTTTAGCCATACCCTTAAAAGTTCATTATTCACTCACAAAGAGAAATAGACAAACATGAATATTCCAAGCGAACAGACACAGACCAGTCCAGTATTTAGTAATAGTTTAACTTTTGGAGTCTCTTCCAGCATTTGTAAACAAACAGTCTCTTCCTCCATCTCCCGAACAGCTCTCTTGTTCATGTTTTTACTTTTAAAGCCACAGAACCAATCTATGAATTTCAAATGTCTCTCTCTATCATCAGTTTCTTCCTCATGCTTTTTCTCCCCCATCAAAGCTGCTTGTCCATTCGAATAGCAATCAACTGGTGTCTCGACTTCAGAGTGACTTACGGAAATCACCGGGTTGCTGTCATCTCTGCAAGTAACCAGAAGATTGATATCCTCAGGCTTAATATTTTTAATGTTTTCTTCAGATTTGCCGTTTGGAATGATATGGTTAGCATTTTCATTACACCTCAAGATGTTCTTTTCTTGTATTTTGTACCGCTCCCCCTTTGCAGTATTCTCTTTTACATTCCTGTTTCTCACAGCCCAGAAAGTGGTTGTTCGAACCTGTTCCTTTGTAGGCGGAGGTGTAAGAAGGCTCACTATAAAGGTCACAATTCCAGTGATCCAGAACAGAGCTGTAGCAACATACATGTAATGGATGTTTTTGATAAAGCTTGGCCTAGTATCTGGCTGGTTACACTCCGGAGCACGATAGATAAATGCCAGTATCAATCGTATCGCTCCAAGGACAAACCCAGCCATTCCGCCATAGAACGCTCCCTGTTCATTGCAACGCTTCCAAAATATACCCATAAGAAACAGAGCAGCCACCGGCGGGGTCAGATAGTCTGCTACCTCTTGAATATAAAGGTACATCTGACCACCTTGCATTTCAACAATTATGGGGACCCAGGCAATGCTTATAGCTACCATGAATGCCACAAAGACTCTTCCTACAATCATCAGTTCTCTAGACGTTGCACTCTTCCGAATGAGTTTGTAGACATCAAGCGTGAATATGGTGCTGGCACTGTTGAATATAGAGTCCAGGTCACTCATCAGTGCAGCAATCATCACAGCCATCATCAGTCCCCGAAGACCAACCGGCACAAGTTTCATCACCAAACGTGGGTAGGCAATGTTAGAGCATCCGGCTCTGCTCCCGCAGACTTGAAAACAGTGTTCTGGATTAATGCAGGCGATATCATCTGCAAACAGTATTCGTGAAATCATCCCCGGGACAACTATAATAAACATTGGCAGTAACTTTAAGAAGCCTGCCATCAGAGTGGATCCTTTGGCATGAGCAATGTTTTTTGCAGCTAAAACTCTCTGCACTATGACTTGATCAGCACACCAGTACCAGACAGATGCTGGAGTCTGTCCCAACAGAAATCCAGGCCAGGGAATATCTTCATCTGTTGGCTCACGCAACATTTTAAGAGCGTCGGGCTTTGGGTCCACATTGCAGGAATTGGTATTGGAAATGTTGTAGGTTAACAAGATAGACGTAATATTTGGTGATGCTAACATGTACCTTCTTTTAACTTCTTCAAACCCACCAACCTCCATAATACTTATGATCATAAGTGTGAGGGCACCGATAATCATAAGCAGAGCTTGAAGGGTGTCTGTGTAGATGACAGCCACAAGACCTCCGGTCACAGTCAACAGTGCAGTCATTCCAATAAGGAGGATTACTGACAAATAGAGATTCCAACCTAGCGATTCTTGAATAAAAAGCGCCCCTGAATACAAGTCAACTGAAAGTTTGGTGAAGATATAAAGAATTAGAGACAATGCTGCAAAATAGATTTGGATTCTATGCCCTCCAAAACGCTTGGACAAGTATTCCGGCATGGTGTACACTCCTGACCGAATGTAGACAGGGACAAAGACCCATCCTAAAAGCTGCAAAAGCATTAAGGCGTTGAATTCCCATGCACCTACTGCAAATCCACTTGCCGCTCCAGATCCTGCGAGCCCAATGAAATGTTCACTTCCAATATTGCTCACAAATAAAGATGCACCAATCGCTACCCAGGTCATAGAACGCCCTGCCAAGAAGTAGCCACTTACGGTGCTTCGATTGTATTTCCACATGGCAAAAAAACCTATGCACATTACAAGCACGAAGTACAGCGCCACAATGGCAATGTCTGCTGTTTCCAAAGAAGCCCTCATTTTTGTAAACAAAATGACTTCGCACAGCTGATGTCCACTTCTCGCCCCCCAGCAAATGTCTCTTAAGCAACACGTGAACCAGTTAACATGTATCAACACTGCGGATCAAATTCTTTGTCCCTTGGTTTGCTGTCCTGATGCTGGTGGTTGTGGTACATTTAGTTTCTCCGCTTCTCAAATGGAAATTTGGAACTTAGCACGCACTTTTAATCCACATTCCACAAGAGCATCAGCCTTAACTCAGTTGATGTAGGAGAAATTCTTAGTTGCAGCTAAGTTTAGTGAGGCCTACTGTACCAACCCTGCAAGGCAGCAAAGACAAAAGACAAAGATTGAATTAGAGGAGAATTTCATGAAGTAATGAGAAAAAATTTGAAGTCTAGTAAAACAATGACTCAACACCACAGATTTTCCCCCTTTACATTTCCTGCAATCCATGCTGCATTTAAGCAATCCATAATACACACAAATTCAATTCTTGTAAAACTAAGAAGTCATGCCTTTTATAAGTCAACTTTAACAAGCACCTTAAGATACAAAGCAATTCCGACTATTAAGTCACCCAAGTTCCCCCAAAAAAGGCAAGAAACAAATACATTTTCATTAATCTTTACAGTCTCTCAATTCTATTTCTCAAGCCACTAAAAAGGCCCTCCTCTTTCAGACAATCTTAGGAAAAAAGAAAAAACACAAAGGAACTGTAACCTGGCTAGTCATGTTATTGCTCTAGCACTGCACCTTACAAATCTTAACAGATCCTGATGTTGTATGCATGCACTCAAGACGCAAGCTGGATACTAGAGCTACAAAGTCATAATGCTGTCAAGAAACAACATGAATTTATCATCACCTGGAGAATCAAAGTTATTCCACAGGTTTTAACCAAGCTTGCACCTGCCTAAGGTACAGATTATAACAGGGTTACATTTCACTCTGAAAGCTCTTCATGAGTACCACACATCCTCTGAGTGAGGAAAAGGTCCCATTCATCCAGATGGCAAAAGCAAAACTATGCCTCACATCCAGCTTTAGGATATCTCTATCTTCCACATGCTTTTTGACACCTGCACCCACATGGCTTCAACATCCTCTGGGAGCACTCCAGGTACCACGATGAAAAACTGGATGGATTTTGGTAGCTTCCAGTTTCCAGTACCACCCATCTGTACTCAAGCATGAAAAGGATCACATTAAAACCAGAGGCAAGTTTGAAGGGAAAGTATATCCTGCTGTTCTATTGCCAAACCCCCAGATCATATCCTGTCCTGCACACCACCAAACAAGGGAATTCATTTAAACACCCAGGACTGAAGCGCTTAAAGTGGAGGCAAGGGGATAATAAAAAGATTTGCTGTCAAGATAACTGAAAAGGAAGGAAAGGGGCATTAAAGAGCTTCACAATGATTCCTATCTCTGTTATGCAGACAAGACGCTCCTTTCTCCTGATTCTGCCTGAGAAAGTATCATTTACCTACCAAAATCATGTAATGGCTTATGGGAGGACTGGACACAAAGTTTTTCTGCTTCTGATACAAGCACAGTCTTGGAATTTCAGCTTATTACAGAGAAGGAAAGAACAGGAAACTGACACCATTTCTCTTTCCCATCCACCAATAAAGGCAAGCACACAAATCACTGATCGCTGCTCTGAACATAAGATCTATCAGCCGTAGGAGGCCTACAAACATCAGTTTTAGGCACTCCCTCTTCTACTTCCTTTGCAAAAGCACTTTGGGTACCACTCTGAAAGCACACGTTTTCCTATTAATTCACCTCTGATTAAGACAAACTCATGGATAACATACCAGCATTTGGGTGGTTTCCCCTTCAGCACCCTTGTAGCATACTCATTTTTCTCAAAAAAAAAAAAAAGAAAAAACATCAAAATTTCTCAAATAGATCATAATAAGCTGCAGTTTGGTTTAAAATGCACACATACCCTGTCTGCCTTACTGAAGGCAGCAAAGGTGCTGACGTAAGAACGTATGCTTCTCATTAAGGCAGATGTATTTTAGAAAAGGCTTACAAGAAATTTCAGCCTTAAGGAGAAAAATCACAATCATGTTACTTGTACAAGCTGGCTGTTTTTCAAGAGTAGTTCAGAATCAGAACAAGATAATAAGGGTTCCCCACCACCGCCACAAACCCACATGAGAATACACGTATTCATTCTGCGGGAGCTACAGTCAATAATGAAAGACTACGGAGACGTGGCACAAAATGGACTGATTACAGTACTGTGCTAAATTTCTAATGCTCTTAAGCCTCGAGCCACAGATGTATTTGAAATTCTTCCACAGAAGAATTTGTGTTTACCCCCACTCACAAATGCAGCACAAGTTAAATGCTTTAGTTTAATCCAACACAAAATTCTAAATACTTCAGATCATAGGGTGCCATCACACCATACGCCAGTGTTATGCATAGTATTCTTAGCTTTAAGCATTTCTGAGCAATACTTTCATACTGTTGTTTCTTTTACTATATTTCCCTAAGTTTTCAAGTACTTTATAATGCTTGCACCAAAAATAAAATATTTTAAGGGAAGTGGAAGAAGAAACACTCTGGAAAATAAGAAAAACTATACGGAATCGGAATAATGGGCAAGCTAAAGAAATAGCAAGAATCTATATTATCCTTCTTCTACTGTACAGGATAATATTCTACTGTCATTCTCTTACTGAAAAATGTTGGACTTGAACTTCAGTTCACTTCTCAATATTTTCCCTGTAGGTTAATCAACAACCCTGCAAAGTTATATACTACACAGTAACATGTATGAATCATGACAACATCCAATGAAACTATGTCTACATGATAAAAGAGGTACCCAGCTGATAAGACCATTACACAAGCACATTCAATCCCCCTGGAAAGAGCATAAGTAGAAGATGCAGCTGCCCTTGAACAAATTGTGATATTTCTCAGTTGGGATACATGCCAAACTACTACAGGCTCATTCTAACTAAAATAAACAATATGTGAAGTTTATTGAGTATTTCCCACTGGAAGGTACAGCCAAATTATTCATTTTAAACAAGCAGCCTACAGAGGCTTGAACTATCACTTTTGTAATCAACATCTGAAATGTACAGGGTTCAGCTCAGTTGAACAGGAAGGTGTAAAGTTTTCAGTAGCTGCCACAAATCTGCTGCACTGTCACTAAATTACTGTACTAAAGTAGTCTCTTGTACCAGTTTCATACTAGACCTAATTCCAAAATAACCCTGGAATTTTTTTTTTTTATTATGAAAATGAGACACGTCCCTCTGAACTTTCAGCAAGTTATGACCTCAAGTCTTAAGAAGGACTTTTGAGACATTCCAAGAGAGTTTAAGCTGAAGTTATTAGAGCAGCATACACTGTGGCACTGATAGAAAAAAAAGAAAGAGCCCTGCTGCCAAGGACTGTGATTTTTTTCCCCTAGAGCTGTTTTCTGGCTGGATCATATCAGAGATGCAAAACAATGTTTTTCCCTCTTGCGTGAAGATAGAAGATTACAACTCTGGTGAAACAATGCTCTTGTCTCCAACAGGCAGCCTATGTTGTAAGCAAAAAAAAAAGTCTCAAATCCCTGAAGAGATGCTAGATAATGTGAAGCAGATTTAGGGTGGGATTTGCAGGAGAAATTTGTATGATTGTTTTAAAGGAACACTTTCTCCACAGTGCTTTTCTAATAAGACAGGCCTTTAAAAGTGCCAGAATCAAACTGTTCCAGCCCTGAAGCAACTATCTGGTTTGTGCTTAGTCTGTTTCTCTTAATTGCAGATGGGAGGCTTCCCATTTCATTTCCTCTCCTCCCTGCATTTAAAAAGCTAGTCCCAGGGACCAATGCTTTAAGGGTTAACTTGAGGATACACATGGCCACAGTAGTCTACAATCACTTGTTAGCAAATTAAGTACACAGCTTTGCTCACAAGGTGGTTTTGAAGGTCTTTCCTAGAAGTAAGATTTCTTCACTCCTATCTTCTTCAAAAAGGGTCAAGCTGATGCGATCTAGTAGTGCCTTACCTATTGAATCACTCACCTGTGTAAGACTTCCAGACTTCCAGACTCAATACCTGCACAAAAAATATTAACACTTTCTCTCCCGGTGGGGAGGAAGGAAAAAAAAAAAGACTTTAGAAGATTTTATATTTTGAGCAGGCCTGCACAACATCCAACCCTCTGAGCGTGCTGTCTTTCCTATTCACACTGCGGGCTGCCTGCTACAGACATGCAAGTGAGTTCCTAGTTGTTCACTGATCCACAGTAAATATAAGGATGCTTGAGGTAGCCTATCTTTCAGAAAAAAAAAAGTGGAAAAGGCTCTGTTCCATTTATTGCAGCATGCCAGGTTAAAAAAAAAAAGGGGGGGAAGAGAGAGAGAGGAGCACAAAAACGTTCTTCATAGATCAACTGCATCAACTGATACATTTCAACTTCTCCTTACATAGTACATGTCCTTGAGAAGGCAAGGTCTGCTCAAGACTATCCTAAACATCCACAAACTAACTTTTACGACTTGGCCTCATAAATGATGAACTGGGCCAGAGGGGCTGGGCTAGAATGGCACCCCAAAGCAACACAGTACAGCAAAGGAAACAGGCAAATTCAAAGCCAGAACTGGACCTATAACATTTAATAAATAAGTCTGAAATGTCACTTCCAGCAGCTCAACAAACTGGAATTATCTGAATGGGCAGCTAGCTGGATCAGCCTGTTTGCCACACAGACTCTGCTGCCCCAAAGCGATACCACATTAACGCTTCTCCAGCCCTGGAGAACACAGGTGCCACAGAGGTAGACGTGTAAGTTATCAATCACCACCACAGAAATCCAATTCAGGGTGCAAAGTTCAAGTCAGTCAGTCACTCAAAGGAGTTACTAAAAGCATGTAATGTACTTCTTTGTCTGGTATCTCAGGAATCATTCCAATTCTGTTCTTCATCATTTTATAGCAGCACCAGAGAAAGAAGGTTGCTCTGTAGCATGCTCTTCTTGATTCTGAAGGACTGATCAAGGAGACAGAAGAGAAATAAGTAACCTCACACATGCAGTTCAGCAGCAAGAGAACTACATCTCTCTAAAGGCAACTGCACTGCATTTTGTCTGTCAGAAATGTTATGCTATTATGGTCTTTTACAGAAGCAGTAACTGGAGTACTGTGAGGCCATATGAAGCTGAAGGCCAGCATAACCGACAGCACCAGCATTGTAGATCAAATTATTTATTCGTTTATTTTTTAAAAATATACAAACAGTTCCTCCTGCCCCAAAGCACATACACATTTCCAAGTCCTTCACCAAGTCATAAGGGGGAC